AGGAAAAAGGCAAGAGCTGCTGAGGTCAGGCTGGGTTAGCTGCTGCCAGAGTCCCCAATGGATGACTCTGCTTAACTGTTTAAAACAGCCTCTAAAAAACCACCCTCCACAGGAGGAGGCAAGAGAACCAAGTGCCTCATTTACATAAGGAATTTTTTGGCTTTTAACCCTTGCTTAACTCTGCTCGAGTGATCATAAAGATAGACTAAATGAGGCATGTGGTTCTTTCTCCCGCCTCTTCCTCTGTAGGGCACTTTTTAGAGGCTTTTTTAAACAGTTAAGCACTAAGCAGAGTCATCCACTGTGACTCTGGCAGCAACTACCTCAGCCTTTTTCTTTTTAAATGTTTTTTTCTTTTCATGATGACAGTGGTGAGGCCCTGCCTCCCCTGACTGCACGTCACTGCCTTGAATTATACAAGATAATACTGGGATATAAATCAAATAATTTCCCTGTGGCATATCCCCCTTAGGCAGAATTGATCCCATCCCTGTCAACTTTCCAGATGTTCCTTAAAACCTAGTTGTATATAGGCCTTAGGATCTCAAGAGAATGGAGATCTGATGAGATGGCTCTATTGGTTGTAATCTAATGTCTTCTCTTAGCCTTTTCATAATAATATTAAATTTTGTTTTTCCTAAATGTTTTTTTAATTGTTTTTATTGGTTGCTTGTATGCCACACAGAGTAATTTCCTCATGAAATAGGTGACCATATAATGAAAGGGCAATTAGTTCAATACATCACCATTTTGGATTAGAGATCCCTCCTTGTGGATTTATCCGAAGCTAGATGATATATTTATGGAAATAGTCTTTTCTAACATCTGGAATTGGAAAAAGGTTTATGTTAGAATGTTGCAGAACACAATTTATGATAAGATTGCTTATGTCAGTTCAGAAAGATCTGAATAAGAGTTTGGGATATTTGCGGGCCTAAATTGTTCTTATAAATAAAGTTTATTCTAAAGGCTATTCAATAGTAAAGAAGAAAACACAGAGGATAATTCTATAGGGAAATTAGATATCAGGTTGGAGACCATAGCAATAGTTTACTTATACTGTACTGACTTTCTACGCGAATTACATGTTTTAAAAATGCACACCCCAACGTTTTCCCTTGATTTTAATTTAAACCCATCATGTCCTCTTTGTCTATCATCCAGATTGTCCTACTAATTAAAATAGGGGTTGTCTTTATCTCTGGCAGACAGTCTTTAAAACAGAAGAAAGCTATTCAGACTGCTATTCGTGAAAACAAAGAAGCTAATGCAGTGCTAGTTCGGTTGAACAGCGAACTCCAGCAACAACTGAAGGTAAGGAATGCTCATGTTTCTCTTTTTGCACTTGTACATGAAGAAAATGTAAGCTTTAGTATAAAATATAAATGTTCTTGAAATAGAAGAATGGGTCGCTGAGAACTGGAGTGAAAAGGAAACTTCCATGAAATAAATTTAAATAAATTTATGGAAGTGATAAATGTGAATTTCCTCATACCATTTTCTACAGTGACAGAAGCTACCCTCTCCCCTCATGTCCCTGTATGAATGAATATTATATGTAATCATATTAGCACTTAAAAAAATAAAACTCTGTGGTCATGGGATTAGGAAATGTCCTTTTTGCAGATACAATCCTATTATTCAAAATGGATTTGAAGTAGAAAGTAAAACACGTCTTCTTTCTAGTTAACTACTCTTTTTGAGCCAAAAGATACTTTGCTTCAGTGATAATTTGGGTTTTGATATTTAACATACAGTAGAATATATTATAGTACATAAGATGCTCTTCAGAATTTCTTCTTAATTGCAAATAAATCAGTTTCTGACAAATAAGACAGCAGAAGAACTAAATTATAAATAAAATTGAAACAACTGTTTTCTGAAATAGAATTTATTTACTGCCTACATCTATGGAAAAAATATGTGACATTATTAACGTTAATCTTCTTTCCAGTGGTACTTCTTATCAAGTGATTGACATGGGTTATTGACTGAATTTCTTTCATATTTTTTGACCAAGTTGAGTTAATTCCTCAATGGTCCCTAAAACTCTTTATCAATGAATGCATTCACCTGATCAGTATTACAGTAGAGTTCAAAATAGGGCTAAATAGATCAAAAGTCCATAGGTTAGCTTTCAGAAACGTAAAGCATATTTTGGGGGAGGAATTTGTATCTTAATACATAGTATTTAAACTTCTTGAGGAATCACAATGTAAACTAAACTAAAAAAATTAGGGCAATGATGGTGGAACATTGAAATTACCAAGCTATCCAACATTTGAGTGTCTGTTTATTTTGTTATTGCTATAGTTTATTGAAAGGACACATAGTGAAACTCAGAAACTGCAAAAGTAGAGTTCATAAGTCTGCATTTTAAAACAAAATTATTTTTATATATGCATATTTCTACCAAGTTGCTCTCTAATTATTTCATATCATTTATTCTATCTAGGAAGTTCACAAGGAACGAATTGCACTGGAAACTCAATTGGAGCAACACCGACCTGTAACTGTCTTATGAACATTATTTTTACACACAGTTTGTTCTATGAAACATGGCACTTTGTATAATACGTTGGCATTTTTTTTTCTAACAAGGCAGTTTCATCTGAAATAGTTGCCAGATATCTTTACATTTCTTGTACCAGTTACCTTGTTGGCAAGAAGATGCACACCATCCAAATGACAACCATAGTACCTAAACTATTTTTCCACTAATCTAGCCAACCCTTTCTTTCCAAAGGACAGGAGAAGGACATTTATATTGTGTATGTATGTATCCAAGAAATTATATTTTGCTTAACACTGTCTCATATTTTAACTATTATTTCCATATGCTTTTTATGAGCATTTATAGCACATTGTATTTATCATGTATAATATCTTCCTAGTTTCTCCCCCCACCGCCCCTTGTTTTATTATCACTAATCACCTTTGGTAGAAAGCACAAATTTGTTGTATTGATAAAATATATCCACACTCTTCTCTCTACAACTTACCACTGCATATCAATTCCTTGCCTATTCCTAAAAGTTGACATACTGTCATTGTTCCATATTTCTGCTGCAGTTTGAAGGAAGCAATGTACAGTGGCCTGCAGCCATAGTTTAATACACTGTGTGCACAATTATTAGGCAAGTTGTATTTTGGGGTATTTATTTCATTATTGAACAACTATAGTGCTCTCAATCAATGTAAAATGTTAATAAACCTCAAACCTGAATATTTAAGAAAGTAAAAAAGAGGTTTTGGAGAATACCTTGTGTGCACAATTATTGGGCAACTATTAGTGTGCAGAATTATTATGCAACTAAATGAAAAATGAAAATTTGCCCATCTTGTTTGTTTGCATCTGTGAATAATAAACAAACAACTCAAAATGTACAAATAAATATTTTTGACATTGCAAAAATTAAAAATTAGTGATCAGTATAGCCACCCTTCTATTCAATAATGGTCATAAGCCTTCCATTCATAGAGTCTGTCAGTTTCTCGATCTGTTGACAATCAATTTTTTGTGCAGGAACCACCACACCTTCCCAGACACTGTTCAGAGAGGTGTACTGTTTTCCTTCACCGTAAATCTCCCATTGAAGAAGGGCCCATAAGTTCTCAACAGGGTTTAGATCAGGTGAGGAAGGAGGCCATGTCATTATTCTTTCATCTTTAGCTGTTCAGCCCCAAAAGATCCAACTACCTCATCTTTAACAACACCAGCCCATAACAATACCTCCATTTTGCTGGCATCTGAATCGAAGTGGAGCTCTGTGTTACTGATCCAGCCACTGGCCCATAGATCTTGTCAAGTGTCACTCTCATCAGTCCATAAAACCTTTGAAAAATATGTCTTTAGATATTTCTTCACCCTGTCTTGCCATTTCAACTTATGTGTCTTGTTCAGTGGTGGCTATGTCTTAGCCTTCCTTACTTTGGCCATGTCTCTGAGCACTGAACACCTTGCACTTCTGCCCACTCCAGGTAGGTTGCAGTTCTGGAATATGACAGCACTGAAGGATAATGGGTTCCTGGTAGCTTCACATTTGATTATTCTCAAATCTTTGGCAGTTAATAGGTGTATTTTTTTTCTCAAAACATTTCTTGCGACTCTTGGCTATTTGCAACAAAACGTTTGTCGGTTTTGAAGATCATACCCCAATATCTTAGCAATTTCAAGAGTGCTACATCCCTCTGAAAGACTTTTTACAATTTTTGACTTTTCAGAATCAGTTAAATCTCTTTTTTGGCCCATTTTGCCTGAGGAAAAGAAGCTGCCTAATAATTATGCACACTGATATAGGGTGTTGATCTCCTTAGGCCACACCCTCCCTCATTACACAAATACACATCACCTGATAAGCTTACATCCACTAAGCATTCATGTTTATACAGCTTGGAGGTGGAAAATATGTGCATGAAAATGATGATATGGTGAAAATACTCACTTGCCTAATAACTCTGCACCCACTGTATAGCTCTAGTTTTTTAATGGATGGCATACTATGAAGTTATTTATTTATTTGTTTATTTATTCACAACTGTGTGCTAGGAAACTACTAGGCATTCTTGTTGATTAGTTAAGTCAGCCCAGTAGAGTTAGTACTAGTTCATCACATCAGTTCCAATTATAAATTGGGCATTTTGCTACTTAAATTTCAGGAAATTATTTACAAAAATAGCAACACTGAAAGATTTAGTGTAGTGCTTTTGCTTACAAAAATATTTACATATTACCCACACATTATAATAATCATTATTTAAAGGTTAACATATATCTCATTTAAAGCAGAGCATCTTTGTGTCTAGAATTGTTTGTGTTTAATTGTTGAAGTTATTACCAGTTCACAAGTCATTTCCCCTCCTTTGGGATTAATATTTTATTAATATGATGCTTCTGTTGTTACATATCAATTCCACTTAGTGTTCTGAATCCCCCCAAAATTCCCTCGTGCCAAATGAGAAATATGGTGCATGTACATGTGACACATTATCTGGCTTGCATTAAAATATTTGGTACTCCTTGATTTGCATGCTGAGATTACCACGTCCACAGAGAAAGTGATCCTTTAGGGAAAGAGGCAGCTGGGAAAGCTTTATTTAATAATCTGCATTTAAATTTTCATTTTTCTTGCAAATCATTGTACATTACTGAAAACAAGCTCATGACTTAGAACGCCTGTAAAGGAGATTAACCAATTCACAGGAATAGATATGTCACTAATAGTGACCATACTGTCTCATTAGAACTTTAGTATTCAAGGCAGCAGGCCACAGTGCATCAGTTCCTTGGGTTGAGAAGGACAACAGGATAAGGTTGCTTTTGCTCACAAAAAGCAGCTATCTGGCTACTATTAAAATGCATGTGAGATTACATGGTCAGTGGATCCGAAACAGACGGGTTCATTTTATAGCCCATATTATTCATTTCTATAATCCAAGTCCTATTAACTTGTAAAGCCAGCATAGAATTCAACATCATAAAATCCTACCCATTTCCATTAAACCAATCAGGATTTGCTCTCTCTTGTTTTCATGTTAACCCCATTGAAGGTATAACAGTGCCACTCTTTCTAATTAATTAAAATATTAGATCTGAGAAGCCTGTCCTGAGAGTTTTATAATTATAGTTCTTGAAAAATAAGGCTGTGTGATTAATCACTTCTTCGAGAAAATCTATCATTGGGTGAATTAGCTGATTACCAAGGCCAAGCACTAGAGAGTCTGCACTGAAGCTCTCTCTTAAGAAGGGTCAGGCTCTGTCAACCAGAATAGCAAGATAATTGCAAGTTATCCAAGCCCAAAGTAAGGTATATTAAATTTGAATGTCCCATATTTTGCAAGTATATGGTTTACAATCAGAAATTAAAAATCATTTGTATCATTGGCATTGGCTCCTTAAGAGAAGACAAAAGGCATAAAAATAGAAAGGATGTTCATTAGAATATCATCTAAGTATACTAAGACCCTTTTGTTACAGATGTTCATGCAACACTTCATTGATCAATTGCATGAAAACAACAGATGTCCAAACTGAAGCACTCAGAACTGGAAACAGCCCAAAGGGCACTTAGAGGCAATTTTCCATTCATTTTAATGCAAACCCTGTAGTAAGCTTCTCTCAAGTCCAATTTAGTAAAAATTCTCCCTTTGGGAGAATGCACCAAAATATCTTTCATCAGAGCCAACAGATAAACATTCTCCACACACACATCGTTTAACCCCTTGTAATCCACAAAGATGAAGACTTCCATCCTTTTTCTCCCAAAATAACACTGGAGTGGACACTCACAGTCTGGCTGGTTGGATGAATCCCCTTTTCAAATTTTTGTCAATGAAGGTGCTGAGCTCATCTAATTCATGTGGAATCATCAAATAGATTTTTGGCTTGGGGCATTTCACTCCGGGGATAATTTCTATGCTGCAGTCCATGGGGCAATGGAATGGGAGTGCATCGAAGACCCGCTCACTGAATGCCTCCCTAGAATAGAATAGAACAGAATAGAATAGAATAACAGTTGGAAGGAACCTTGGAGGTCTTCTAGTCCAAACCCCTGCTTAGGCAAGAAACCCTACACCACTTCAGACAAATGGTTATCCAATCTTATCTTAAGTCCCAGCATTCCTTTGGGTTTTCCGCCTCTCTCTCTGTCTGCTCCTCCATGGCAGCACCCAATTCCCTTGTCATTTTGGCTTTTTTTTTTTTTTTTGGCCTCTAGCAAGGGATTTCCCTTCCTTGTCCCTGCTGGCTGAAGTCAGATTTTTAGGAGCCCTCTTCTACAAATCAAAGTGGGTTCCACTTGTGGAGTCAGGTCAGTCCAAGTAAGAGGGGTCTCTCCATCCCAGGTGCTACTATTCAACTCAGAAGCTCGTTGAGGTTCCCCACCCTCATTTCCAGAGATTCCATTATGAAATGAGCTGGGGGGATGCCACTGACCTACCCAATTGGCAGAAGGCTACAAATACCTCATAACCTCATAACACCTGAGATGGTTATGTGGATCACATGTTGATTTACCAGGGGGTCATTGTCACAGTTGGATTCACAGTGGGGTCAGAGCTCCCAACCCCTCCAGGCCAGGAGGAGAGAATTCGACAACCTCCATCTCCTTCGGGGCTATTTAGCCCTAGAAAGCCTCGGTGGTGGCTTCTCAGCCTTCCTACTCCCAGTGCTGCAGGTTTGTGGTTAAGTCCCAGAGCAAAGTGATGACGCACACACCACCAGCAGCTTCTGGCTGCGAGTAGTCCAGCACAATGCTGTGAGCACAATTACTGCAAAACAAGTAATCCAGCAGGGCAGGGGAATAAGTCGATTAGTCTAGGAAGCTAAGGAACAAGGCAGTTAATCCAGAAAGCAAAAAGTCCAGGAAACATCCAACGTCAGCAATGGCACACAACCCTCCAGGAATTCAGCATTTGTTCCCAATAAATGCCCCTCCCCACAGCATATTAAGTCTCAGTCCCCAGGTGTGCCTTATGGGAAGGGGTAGGGTGCTCTCCTGAGTAGGTGGGTCAGCCTGTGCTGTTCTTGCCTTTTCTCCACTCTGTGCTCAAGGATCAGGAGAGGGTGGTCCTTGCTCATCGCCTGAGCTCTGTCTCACGTTCACTGCTTAGCCTCTCTTGGTCATCCTGTCCCCATTCTTCCCTGCCTACAAGCCATCCCAATCCTGAAAGGCCCTGGCCTGATTCAGCCTGGTCCTCCCCATATTCCTCCAAAGCCACCCCCTTGATTTCTGTCAGCTGCAGTTCTGGCTCATCTTCCTCCACAGATTCAGACTCCAATTGCGGCATGACACAGCCATTCCTCCTCATTTTGAGTGTGGTGTAGTCTTGGGGGTGGGGAGACTTGCTCCTAAGGCTCCAGACTTCCCAGTCACTCCTATGAGTTGAAATTGAATGCTTGGTTCCCATGGTAGACTATAGTCTCTGGGTTGACTGATAAAGGAGATCTTGCCTAATGCAGACTTTGCACAAGTCTGCCTCCATTCAAATTCTAAGAAAGAAAAACCCTAACTCCATTGATTTAGAAAAGAGGTACTTTTTCTAATAGCAGCAAAAGCAAGGCAAGATCTGGGAAAAATCTGTGTGAAAGTTATATACTGAAAGTCACCCCCAAATCCTCCCCCCAGGGTTCAGCATTGAAAGATCAATCAGCGTTCAATATAACAACATATGGAAAGCTCCGCTGCAATTTTGTGTCTCTGGAGTCCCAGGACAGTTGGCTTTGGAAAAGCCCAAACAACTGCATATAGCAGCCTCACAGTTCATGAGTGCAAACCCCCCTTCCAATTCTCACCAGAACTTTTCACACCACCTCTCTTCCCCATCCTAAATGCCAGACCGCCCCCCCTCCTCACAGTTTCTATGGCAGCCGAGAGCAAGCAAGCTGCAAACCACATGTTAGAGATCTGTCTGACAGCACCTTTGGGATCACTGAGACATACTTTTGCTTAATTATCTGGGAAGTTTTTCAACTGGAGGAAGTCCTCTGGGCTGTGAGTTATGTCATGTGTTTTATACCTGTATTCCTGGATGGTGTGATGAATCCTTTGCATGAAGGGAAGATTTCACCTACATTATAAGAGGAGACGGTCATAATTGGATACCTCAGTATTAGACAAGTTTTGTTAGACTCCAACTTTCACTTTCTAGGGGAAAGATTGTTGAAAGGTTGATTGGTTCTGAGATTGAAAGGGCCTTGAAGAAAGTGAGATATCTAGGCCCATTTCAGTCTGGTTTCAGGCTAGGTTATAGCACTGAAACAGCATTGTATATGCTTGTGGGTTATTTCCACAAAGCTTGGGATGGGTTTGACACATCAGTTTCTTGTCCACTTGTGTCTCTTGGTGGTGGTAGAAACCAATGATCATGGTATATTTCTGAATTCATTTAGGACATTGAGAATGGTAGGCAGAGTTTTGTGGAAAAACTCTTTCCAAGGCTGTTTCTAGCTGGTGATGGTAATGGGGTAGGCATCTAATTCTAGACCTGTGGTTATATACC